TATTGCTGTCCCTAATTGCCCCTCGAGACGGGTGGGGTGAGCCACCTTCTTGACCTGCTGCAGTCCCCGTCTGGTGTAGGGACACCCCGCACAGTGCCCCCCCCCCCCCCCCCCGGCCACACTGAAGGGAAGGCCCATTTCGTTCCCTGTCTCTGCTGTCCCCTCGTCCTTCCGGGGGAGATGGGGGTAGAGGGTGGCAGGTTCGGAAGGTGCTGTCGGAAGAGAGTCGCTGCGGTGCGTCCTGTAGGCGGTACACACTGCTGCGGCTGTGCGGCAGCGTTGGAGGGAGGGAGTGTTGGAGCTCAGCCGAGCATTCGCAATGCGGCCATCTACGTCAGTGGGAGAGGGAGGGAGTGTTGAAGATGGGGGTGGGGTCTGCTTTGTCCTGGACGGTGCCGAGCTTCTCGAGTGTTGTTGGAGCCGCACCCGTCCTGGGGATTGTTCCCTCGCCCTTCTGATTTAAATTGATGTGGTGTATCACGGTTCGTTGTCTTGGGTCTTTGTGCCATTTCCTGCTTCCGTTACGATCCCGTCTCTCTCTCTCTCTCTCTCTCTCCCCCCCAGATGAAGAAAGGAAACACGATACAACAGTTCCTACAGAAAGGTCTAGAGATCCTGCGGAAAGATTTCAGTGAGCTGAGGTACGGCAGACACCGTTTACAAATAACCATGCCAACGCACTGGAGCTCATCGCTGAACAGATGCAGCACAGAGACAATGTGGAGAGGGGAAAGGGCAGCACAGTGGTAGCTACTGCTGAGTGTCGAAAAAGCCCTCCCCGGTTCACCGATGCCCCTCAGAGGGGGCACTTGGCCAGCCTTACCCAGACTGGGCCCCCTCATGACTCCAGACTCTTCCCCACACCCTGCTCCTCCCTCAACCACAGCCACCGTGCACAGTTCCCATCTCCACACCCCCTCTGGGAATACTGTGCACTGTTCCTGTGTACGTCTCCCTATGGGACTACTGTGCCCAGTTCCTATCTCCCTATCTCCCTATCCCTCTGGGAATACTGTGCCCAGTTCCTATCTCCCTATCCCTCTGGGAATACTGTGCTGATTCCTATCTCCCTATTCCTCTGGGAATACTGTGCCCAGTTCCTGTCTCCGTATCCCTCTGGGAATACTGTGCCCAGTTCCTGTCTCCCTTTCCCTCTGGGAATACTGTGCACTGATCCTGTATACGTCTCCCCCTGGGAATACTGTGTATAGTTCCTGTTTATGTCTCCCAATGGGAACACAGTGCCCAGTTCCTATCTCCACACCTCTCTGGGAATACTGTGCCCAGTTCCTAACTGTGTCCCCCTATGGGAATACTGAGCACAGTTCCCCTCTCTGTATCCCACTGGGAATACTGTGCTCAGCTCCCATCTCGGTATCCCACTTGGAATACTGTGCACAGCTCCTGTTCCTGTCTCCCTATCCCACTGGCAATACTGTGCACAGCTCCCAACCCTGTATCCCACTTGGAATACCGTACTCAGTTCCCAATCCCTCTGGGAATACAGTGCACAGTTTTCATTTCTGTATCCCACTGAGAATACAGTGCAGAGTTCCCATTTCCATATCCCACTGGGAATACAGAGATCAGCTCCCATCTCGGTATCCCACTTGGCATACTGTGCACAGCTCCTGTTCCTGTCTCCCTATCCCACTGGGAATACTGTGCACAGCTCTCGACTCTGTATCCCACTTGGAAATCTGCGCAGAGTCCCCCATCCCTCTGGGAATACGGTGCAGAGTTCCCATTTCCTATCCCACTGGGAATACTGCACACAGTTCCTGTCTTCGCATCCCAAAGTCAAAGGGAATAGTGTCGATGTGTTGAAGTGAGAGAATTTTAGGGGCTGAATGGCCTGTTTCCTGGCACAGTGAATAACACGGGAGAGGGAGTCCTCACTACAGTGTTCTTGGTGTTCGTTCTGTAGATCTGCTGGAGTCGAACAACTTATGTACATCAAAGAAGATCTCATCATTCCACATGTAAGTGTGCAAGGGGCTGGGTGACACATCAGTGACTATAGACCCAGTGACTATCTTTGTTCAGTTCCATCACTTGGGGGTCCTGATCCTTACCTGAAGTTGCCACAAACTCCAACGTCCTGCTCCCGACCCAGTCTCATCCCTTACTCCCCATCACTCCCCGCTCCCTGTAATATCCCACCCAGTCTAATCCCACTCTCCCCCTCACTCCCCACTCCCTTTAATATCCCACCCAGTCTAATCCCACTCTCCCCCTCACTCCCC